CCATCCATCCATCCATCCAGTAATTCACCCACGCTCCCACCCATACATCGTCCAACTGTCTTTGTGCCTCCCTATACCCCATACCTAAAGCCTCCATACCTACCCATCCACACTTCCAGCCACCATCCATGTATCCATGTATATATCCACCTATCAGTCGTTCATTTACACCCTGCAACCATTTACCTATGCACACACCCACACATCCGCCCACCCTCTGTCTCTCCATTCCTGCAGTCAACTCGAACTCTACTCCTTTCAACCATAGAAGTTTTCACAAGTCATTCTCCACCTGCCCACCGTCCACCTCCCCTAACGGCCGGCCATCCATCCATTCAGCAGTTAGCTTCTACTAAGCCGGGGCCTGAGGTTCACAAAAGGACAAAGATGGGGTAAGATTCTGTCCCTATTTTGGCAGAGGCTATAGTCAAGTAGGTGGGAAAGAAATCACAAAATCCAAACAGTATATATTCTGTTATCCCCACACCCAGACACACATTATTAGGGTCACATAAGAGAACCGTGTGTTATCATGTCTGCCATGATACTGGGAACACTCCTCAGAAAAGGTCATTGAAGGAAGGTTTTGAAGGTGATTAGGAGTTTGGTAAGTGTTGGGAAGAGTAAAGCTCAGAGCTGGGAAAGGAAAGGGGGAATTCCAGGAGGAGGGAATATTAGTTAGGTAGAGCCAAGCATGCTGGCAGAGTCGCTCAGGTGAGTTCAGTCTGACAGGCCTGTGTTCCTACCATGAGGGCCTGAGAGTGGGCCTGGGGGCCAGTGGAGGATCAGATGATAAAAGATCTGTGTACCAGCAGCAGGAGGCTGTGAAACCCTCTGCAGCAAGACAGAGATGGTACTTGCTGTACGCTTAGGGGCTCACTGTGACATCGGAGATGGCAGGCTGGTGAGAACAGAGGCAGGAAACTGGCAGCCAAGCGTCAATCTCCTCTGAAGCCAGTGGACAGACAATCATGAACTTGAGCCTTGGTGGACATGGATAGAAGCCATGATGATGGAGGATTTAGAAGAAGGAGCTGGAAGAGGAAGGCTACCTGGAGAACCACACGGCAGTGTATGCCATGCTGGTTTTACCAGGGCTATAGGACTCAGCAGGCACCGCTGTAAAGGCAGAGGGCATTATCAATGTGGTACCCCATGCTGTGTTAGCTTGCTGTGTTTATTGACTTATGTTAATATATATATATACACACATATACATATATACACATACACATATATACAGATATATGTGTATGTGTATATACATACACATATACATATAGATGTTTTATCTGCATGGATGGATACGATTCACATGCACACCTGGTACCCAAGGAGTTCAGAAGAGGCCATCGGATCCTCTGAATCAGTGTTATAGATGCTTATGAGCTGTCAGTGGGTATAAAAGCAGCCAATGCTCCTAACTGCTGGGCCATATTGCCACCCCCAACCTGCTGTATTTAAATCAAAAGGTAGGGAGATGGAAAGAGAGATGCCCATGAGTCCCTCCAACTCGGGCTTTCACTGTAAGAGATTTTAAGATGTCACTTTTTTCAAAGTTAATTTTTAGTATCTCAGAAGCCAGGCTGAATCACATAAAAAGTGAGGTCATAATTAATTAAATTAACTGGTGCTATTAGGTGTAATTAAAACTACAGTGATTATGATCTTGGAATTTGGTGTCAGGCTCTCTGCTGCTTCCATCTTTGCCTTTCTTGGGGAGTCACCCATCAGCCCCCTAATTACTGAACTTGGCTGTCTCCCAGATGTGGTTTTGGGCTCTGTGTAGGTAGATCTCTTGTACTCAAGGCCACTTTCTGAGCTAGATTTTTGGTTTCATTCAAGGCTACCTCAGACATCAGGGAGAGCTTTATCCAAGATAAAACCGGTCTTCAGGAGTGGCGGTCGGGTAGGAGTTGAGTACCTTCTGCTCCACCCTGGCCTTTCCTTTCATTAGGTCAAGGGTCACTGCCCACTTCATCTGGCTACTGTCTTTCCACACTTGCTTCCTCGGATCCTTTCCTTGTCTCCCAGGGGTGCTCTGGCTGGAACATGGGGGACCCCCCCCCCTCCCCAGAGGCTGAAGATCCCAGCAGAGTGGCCTCTCTGGGAAAAGGCCTGGCAGGAGGTTTGTCTGTCCTGGCTATGTGGTCACAGCTCATCTCCTTTAGGCTGCAGGCTGGAGAGACCTGCCTGCCCTACAGATGCTCCAGCGGGAGCAGCCGACATGGAAAGTGATTTTGTCAGAGCTGGGCCCTGTTCAACCTCCTGACACGAAGCCTGCAGCTGCTTCTGGCTGGGGCCTTTAATTTCGTTAATGTGTGACATTCACCCAAGCTGCGTAGCTGACGGGCATGCTTGACATTAATACGTGTTCTGAGTGTTCCCTTGAGCTCATAAAACCTCATTATCAGTTCTGAGCCAGTAAATGCAGTTCCCGATCCTCAGAGGTGCCCCGGGCAGTAGAACCCTGGACATCTGTCTTCACCAGCCGTCAGACTCCTCCCTTTGTCCTGGGACTCAGTGTCTCAGCTCCTGGAGGGAGGGGGCAAGACAGACATCCCTAAAGCAGAAACCTTGCTTCAGGTTTACAGCCAAGACAGGAGACACCTTCTGATTGTACTTGCTGTGTATCTATCTGATGAAGACATGCTGACGTGGACACCAAGGCATGGTGGTAGAAAGGTTCTTGTGTCCTGAAATAGATATGGCCATAGTATCTGATAGGCAGATGGTAAAGAAGTTTGCCCCACCAGCACTATGGGATATGTTAAAGGCCAGGAGTATAGCCATTCTTACATTCAAAGGGGTACAGTGCCTCAGACTCCTGAGGTGTCCATTCTCTGTGTCAAGACTCTGTTTGTTGTCTGTGTATCATGAATGCACGTGCCACACAGTCAGATAGTTATAGATGTGGGTCACAGTCTATAGCTGTACCAAAGTTCTATCGAGTATTTTGGGTTGATAAGAATGGTCACTTCTGTGTCTAAAATGAAAAATATAACCAGGAACAGTGGCTCACAGCATTAGGGAATTGGAGGCAGAAGGTTCAAGGTTAGCTTTTCCTACAGAGTGAGTTGAGGGTCTTCAGTAAGCTAGGTGAGATCCTCTCTCTAAAATATAAAAATAACAACAACAACAAAAAACAAATAATAACAACATAACCTTCCAAAATGAAAATTCTGTATGTTCATATGTATGCACATGTGTGTGAGATAGAGAACATACTTTTCTGTGCGTGCATGCGTATCACATGTGCACATGTGTGTTTACTTGGATTTCAGCTGAAGCTGTCTTCTGGCCCATGATGCATGAGGTTCCCAGGGCTCACACTGCCTGATGGCACTGCAGAGACAGTGAGGTAAGGCCAAGCCTTGCCCCAGCTGTACCACTCTCCATTGGTTAATGTACTGAGAATCTGACTCATTAGGGGACCTTAGACTCACCCAGGCCCTACTAGGAACTCCCTCATGTGGAAGCCGTACGCATGTCAGTCTGGGTTTCCCAGGTCTAAGTTCTAATCTTCACCTTGCCAAAACTTTCTTTTTAGACTTTGAGAAGTTTGCTTACCTCCTTTGTGCTCAGGGTCTTCAGACCTGAAGTAGGCAGGCTTTCTTGTGGTGGTGTCCTGGTTCCTGTCTGAAGCAGCATGAAATGACATGGTCTCCACTGATCAGTTTGGCTCAAGTTTTGCGGTCCCAGGGTTACAACTGCAACCTTGTTCCCGCCTATTTGCCGTGGTGGCTGTAAGCCTTGCTTACACTATTCCTCTGTACTGTGACAAGCCAGTTCCTAGGACTAGCCTAAGCCTTGGCTAGCAAATATGTCACTAGGATGTGGTGAATTTTACCCTTCTCTGAAACTCCTTCTCCTCCTCCTCCTCCTCCTCCTCCTCCTCCTCCTCCTCCTCCTCCTTCTCCTCCTCTTCCTCTTCTTCCTCCTCTTCTTCCTTCTCCTCTTCTTCCTCCTCCTCTTCAAAGTGACAGGAGCGGCTGGGCTTCTGGCCACACTGTGGAGCTGAGATGTCACCTCCAAAGCCTCTCATCTGGTTGCTGATCTCCTTGTGCACAGTACTTGAAATTATAGGTCTGCCCAGAGAGCCAACATTCATGAGGTGATGCTGGACTTCCGTTCTTTAGTTATCAGAAAGGCCTTTGCGGCTCAGAGCAAAGATGTACAGGCTGGTTTTGGGCTCCACAGCTCACTGTCTTGGGCACATGAGTCCTGATGGTCTGGGGCTGGCATGGGAAGACTAACAAGATGGAAGATGCGTTTCTGGGGGTCTTGGGCTCTCTGCCCTGCTCTGGGAGCCCTGGTCTGGTTCAGATTCCAGGGGAAGGGGAGCCTGGAGTGAGAGTGTGTGCCATGTGTGGGCAGAAGTGCTCTGGAAGCCACATGTCATGCCCCACTAACCCACGCTTTCCCTCTTCCCCATCTAGAGTTGCCCTGACGCTGTCATCAGGAGTCTTCAAAAGGACCTCTCAGTTCCTTCTCAAAAAGGAAAAGGACAGCTGGAAGAGGTAAGGTTTCCTGACATGGTGGCAGTGGCCTGGCTTGTTCAATCAGATAACTAAACTTCTCATCCATCTCCTGCCCTCCAGGACCAGCCTTCTGAGGGAGGGAGAGTTTTTGGGCTCCTGCCCTAGGGGTAGAGGGCCGGGGAGGGCAACTTTACGTCTGTCTGCGTCTCCTGATGTTAATTCAGGGATGGCAGAAGCAGCTGGGGGACCCTCCAGAAGGGAAAACTAGCTCTAGGAGGAGGGCACAGCTCCCAGGAGCCCTTTCTGGTTGTCCTTAGCCTCCACCTCAGTCATGGACTGTGAAGACGAAGCAGATCCCTTGGGTACTCACCACCCCGAGGGTGACATGTAACATCACAGGACTAGCACCTGTCCCCTTGTCCGTGATAATACTGGGCATGACAAGACTGATTTCTACCTCTGGGGCTCTGGAACCCCAGAAACGCTGGGTGGCCTTGTGGAAGATTCCTGATTGAGGAGCTCAGGCCTACTGTCTCCTGGACAGCTGCAGCCGCTTCAAGGTGTGATCTTGGCATTATACCTACCTCCATTTTAAAAGAGAAGAGAAACCTGGTCTCAGAGGTGAAGAGACTTTCTCGGGGGTCACGAAGCACTGAGTGGTAGGGCGGGGTTTGAATCCCTGACTGAACAGCACCAGAGTTCTGGGTCCTTTATTCATCCCATGATTTGATGGTCAAGATTAAACTAAACCTATGAACTAAGTTGCCTGTGTGAAATTCTGGTTCTTGAAAAAGCATGAAAGCAGTTTGTTCTTTTGTCTTGAGTTTTTTCTTTAACACTGGACTTTTTTTATAAAATATCCATGGGTCTTGTTTTTCCTGGTCTTTTTTTTTCCTTTTTTTTTTCTGTTCCTAAAACTAGAAGGAGAGTAAGCAACATCTTCTTACATTATCTAGGGAGACCTGAGATGAGGAAGATTCTAGAAGTATCCTACACAGTTCCTTTTGTGAGCCCCTCTGATGCTTTCCCCATGCCAGAGGTTGTTGTCAGCAGGACATGGTGCAGGCGCACAGATTTGCTTTAACAGTGGGCTGGTGGTATTTTCTATCTAGCTGTCCTGCTGTCTGTGGCTGGCCTGCATTCGGCCGCCTTCCTCATTCCCGATTCAGTTCCTCAGCTGTCTTTTTGCGCTGTGCAGCAGGCTGCCTGTGGGTTATTCTGGCTGTGATCTAAGACTGAGGGGCTAGCAAATGTTGGGAATGGCTGAAGTTCAAGTGAATGTTGGTCTTTTGGGCATCTGTAGCCCGAAGTTTTCTAGCTTTGCAACCTCCAGCAGTAGCTTCAGCCTTGATCTCCACAGGAGGCATGTATATACACAGAGCCTGGATCTGCCCAGCTTCCTTTGTCAGAGGCCTCACACTACTGGGAGTGAGCTTGCCTCCCCAGGACAGTCTTTCTCCCAGACATGTCTTCGAACACCACAAGCGTCAGGAGTCATCACTGGATGGCCTTCTGGAGGGAGTCAGAAAGCCTGACAGTTGAGCCTGGGCCCTCCTGTAAACAGACAAATGCTAGTCACAGGAAGCAACATAAAATGGCCTCAAATTAACAGGCGGAGGCCAGGGCTGCATGGCCCTACCTTGTGCTGGGGTCTAGCTGTATCCAGCAAGTGAAGGACAGCAGCTCACCTGTGAAGAAGACCAATAGCATGTACCTCTTCGGGGCCCGGGTGATACACACTTCCCAGGTCATCTGTTCTGCCCTCTCAGCCTCTAACCACTCTGTAATCACAGCAGTCTTATCCTGTGTCCTGAGGGAAGGTGATGGCCAGAGGGAGTCACTTGCTCTACTTGCTTAGAACAATGACAGGTCTCTTGGGGTCCTATGGCCTCTCAGAGGACCTTCCTAAAAATACCCAGGCTTCCGGGCGTGAGCGTGGGTGTTTATCACCGAATAGTGATGCTACCCAGGAGACGCATACCTTTTCCTGTGCCTGGTCTAAAAATGGCTGGGAAAGGGGTCTGGCTTGTGTCAGTGAGCGCTCAGTTCTCAAGTTCTGGTGCTCAAGGCCATCAGGGTGTGAGCTGCCTTTCCCAGCTTCTACTCCAAGCTGACATAGTTCTCCCAGTCACCCTTCCTGGGCTCTGTCAGCAGGTAACTACTGTTGGTTGTAACAACAGCCAAAAGCCAACTTTGTGAGTTTCCTATGGGTGGGGTCATTTGAGCTTCAGAGAACTGATGCTCCAGGGTGCGTGTCTACCAGGAGCTTAGGGGAGAAATCAGGACAGGCCTCCTGACCCTGGAACTGTCTGCTGAACAAGCAAAGGCCACATCTTCCATACATGGCGACACCCTTCTCTAATTCTCTACTCAGCTTTGTACAGTGTGCACAGGACATGACAAAGGGTGTTCCTGGTCAGGCATCTGTAATCCCAACACTTGGAGAGACTGAGGCAAGATCAAGAGAGGCCAGATGATGACACAGTGAGATATTGTATGTGGAGATTATACATACATATAAACATATGTGTGTATACGTGTGTGTGTATATACGTGTGTGTATATACATGTGTGTATATACGTGTGTGTGTGTGTGTATGTGTGTGTATGTCATTCCTTCTCACACATAGGGTTGGGAGGGCGCCAGTGGGTCAGGATACAAAGAGTTGGAGTAGCTGAAAAGTGACTGAACAGATTGAATCTCTGTCTTGGGGTTCTTCACCCTCAGGAATTTATACTCCCACCGCTGAGAACTGGCTCTAACAGATAAGAACGTCTCCTTGGGCTGAGCAAAACCCTGTATGCCCTGTCTGCCTGCCTCGAATATGCTCCCTGGGGCTGCAGAGATGAGTGTGGCTACTTTTCTTCTCACACTCACCCGACCCTGCTCATATACTGGCTAAGGGTCCTCAGCCACCTTGGCCTCCCCTGGCAGCAAAGGTAGTGCTGCCTTGACTTCCACCCTCCTCTGAGCAGACTCAGCCTGCATCAAGTCCCTTCTCAGCCCCAGAGCCGAGCCTGACTCTAGCTAGGTTCTGACCCCAGCCAGGAAAAGAAGCCAGCTGTCTGTCCTCAATGCTGTGTGTGATATTGAGATACAGTGATTCTCATATCCTTCTGGGATTCCAACTTCTGCTCTATGTATTTTCAAGGAGCAAAAGGAATCTGTTGTGGTGGCGGACACGTTTGCCAGTGGTTCATCCCTGGGCGTGAGGGCACCATGTGATGGAGAGAACTTCAGCCCCTCTCCTCGCTTCCTATCAGCCTGGGCGATGTCCTCAGCCCACTCTCTAGCCCATGAAGATGTCCGTGAGCATCTCTACTTTCAGGGCAATGACCATGATGAGAGAGAACCAGTGTCCCCCCAAAGATGACATCAATGTCTTCTGCCCATCCCACACAGCCTGACCCGAGGCCTCCAGCCAGAACATAACTCCATGAGCCATCGTCCTGCTCATGCCTTCTATAGATTTCTCCTGACTTTGTGCCTGAGATACTCGTACTGAGGGGCCTCTTCCTCACTCATCTCAGTCAGTATCTTTCAGATCTTTCTAGCTTCAGGCTGGTCCTGTGTGTACCTGTAACTCACAACAGCCCCATCATTTCCGCCCCTTTTGAAAGCTTCCAGCCACATCTGTGTCTTCTTCCCTTTACAAGCTCAGGGTTCCTGTTTTGCTTTATGTATTTTTACATTTATTTTACTTTGAGTGTATTAGTGTTTTTTGCTTGCATGTATGCATCACATGTGTGCCTGGTGCCTATAGAGGGCTTCAGGTGGCTTATAGCCACCAAGTGAGTGTTAGAAACTAAGCCCTCATCCTCTGTAAAACTAAGAGGTGTTCTTAACTACTGGGCTATCTCTCCAGCCCCTCAAATTTAGTTTTAAGTCTACACAGAAAGGGTTCACTGGTGGGGGTGGGGGAGGAGCACACACTTGTGGTCCTTACAGGAGGCAAGGCCAGTGGACCTTCTTCTGGGAGCCTGCAGATCCCTGGCATGGTTGTCATGGAGCCAGGCAGACAGATCTGCTTGCTCACTGGGGTCTCCATTCTAGGACATTTTGGAGATATGATAATGTCTTCATTTCCCCCGGCGAGTAAATTGATTCCCTGTGTCACACAGCAGTGATGAGCCCACACTGCCCCAGAAGCTGTCACTGCTTAATAATGATGCAAATCCAAGCTGTGACTCACAGCTGGAGAAGGACTTCAGCTGCAGACTGAGTCAGATGACGACTGCATCATCAAGGGCTCTGTCAGCATCAGAGAAGGGTAGTGACAGGCCTAAGATCACACAGCAAGCAGTAGTAGAACTGGACCTCACTATGTTTTCTGACCAGCTCTGTACCCAGCTGCCACTTTTCTTGGTGAAAAGATAAAATAGAATATCATCTTGAACATCCTGCAAACAAAAGAAGCCTGGCCCTCCAATGCAATGATGTAAGCTATTATCTTTATTATTTGTGCCCTGCCCCAAGAGCTGCTGACTACAGGGCAAGGGAGTGACCCGCCCCGTGTTGTGAAGGAAGGAGACTGGGATTAAGTAAGGAGACTCTGGAATCTGAAGCTTTCTTTCTTTCATTTGTTTTCTAAACAGATATTACGTTGCAGAATTTTCATGTTCATAGCAGTTGAGGGATGTCGGGGAGCATTCTGATACGCCCTCCCCCCATCACCACAGACACAGCCGCCCACAGAGAACATACCTCACTGAGGCTGTGCCACATAGTCAGTGAACACACACTGGCATGTCACTGCCAGTCAGAAGCCTATGTAGGGGAGCATTCATGTCTGCTCCGTGTGTCCTGATAAATGAGAACAAACATGTCATGTGTCTCCTATCAAAGTGTCCACAAGATAATTTCACTTTCCCAGAGGTGTCTAAGCGCCACCTGGTCATTCTTCCCTCTCCCTAGTCCCAGCACCCACATATGTTTTTGTGTCTCCACAGAGCTGCCTTTTCCAGGGCCTCTCATGACTCGTTAGACCACTTGAGTCCCAAGCCTGCCATTCAGTCTGCATCTTCTCATGACTAGAGGG